CGGCAAGGTGGGGGTGGGGGGTGGCAGGGACAGGAGGGGACACGGGGTGGAGGTGGCAGGAGACGCGTGGGTGGGGATGGCAGGGCCAGGAGGGGACACGAGGTGGCCAGGAGGGACACGGGGTGGCTGGAAGGGACACAGCATGGCCAGGAGGTCTCCAGACCCACAACAATGGGGTTGCAGGGACATGGGGTGGAGGTGGGAGGGACATGGGGTGACCAGAAGGGACATGGGGTGGCCAGGAGGTCCCCAGACCCACATCCATGGGGTTGCAGGGACATGGGGTGGAGATGGGAGGGACATGAGGGGACCAGAAGGGACACAAGAGGGACATGGGGTGACCAGAAGGGACATGGCATGGCCAGGAGGTCTCCAGACCCATGGCAATGGGGTTGCGGGACATGGGGTGGAGATGGGAGGGACATGAGGGGACCAGAAGGGACACAAGAGGGACATGGGGTGACCAGAAGGGACATGGCATGGCCAGGAGGTCTCCAGACCCATGGCAATGGGGTTGCGGGACATGGGGTGGAGATGGGAGGGACATGAGGGGACCAGAAGGGACACAAGAGGGACATGGGGTGACCAGAAGGGACATGGCATGGCCAGGAGGTCTCCAGACCCATGGCAATGGGGTTGCGGGACATGGGGTGGAGATGGGAGGGACATGAGGGGACCAGAAGGGACACAAGAGGGACATGGGGTGACCAGAAGGGACATGGCATGGCCAGGAGGTCTCCAGACCCATGGCAATGGGGTTGCGGGACATGGGGTGGAGATGGGAGGGACATGAGGGGACCAGAAGGGACACAAGAGGGACATGGGGTGACCAGAAGGGACATGGCATGGCCAGGAGGTCTCCAGACCCATGGCAATGGGGTTGCGGGACATGGGGTGGAGATGGGAGGGACATGAGGGGACCAGAAGGGACACAAGAGGGACATGGGGTGACCAGAAGGGACATGGCATGGCCAGGAGGTCTCCAGACCCATGGCAATGGGGTTGCGGGACATGGGGTGGAGATGGGAGGGACATGAGGGGACCAGAAGGGACACAAGAGGGACATGGGGTGACCAGAAGGGACATGGCATGGCCAGGAGGTCTCCAGACCCATGGCAATGGGGTTGCGGAACATGGGGTGGAGATGGGAGGGACATGGGGTGACCAGAAGGGACACAGGAGGGACTTGGGGTGACCAGAAGGGTCACAGCATGACCACAAGGTCCCCAGACCCACGGCAATGGGGTTGCAAGGACATGGGATGGAGGTGGGAGGAACATGGGGTGACCAGAAGGGTCACAGGAGGGACATGGGGGTGACCAGAAGGGACATGGGGTGGCCAGGAGGTCTCCAGACCCACATCCATGGGGTTGCAGGGACATGGGGTGGAGGTGGCAGGGACATGGGGTGACCAGAAGGGTCACAGGAGGGACATGGGGTGACCAGAAGGGTCATGGCATGGCCACAAGGTCCCCAGACCCATGGCAATGGGGTTGCAGGGACATGAGGTGGAGATGAGAGGGACATGGGCTGGCCACCCACCCCCCGCCATCGTCCCCACCCCCGGGGGCTCACCGAGGCCGTGTCGATGACGTACATGAGGGTGTCCCCGTCGGCGTCCTCCGCCTGGGCGCTGAACACCACCGAGTGCACGGCCGCCAGCTGTGGGCACCCACCGGCACCTCCTGCCACCACCCAACGGCACCCAACGGCACCCCCAAACACACCCCCCGTGACACCCAAACCCACCCAGGTGTCCCCATCTCCTCTCACATGTCCCCATCTCCTCTCACGTGTCCCCGTCCCTCTCAGGTATCCCCATCCCTCTTGGGTCCCCTCATCTCCTCTTGAGTGTCCTCGTCCCCTCTTGAGTGACCTCATGCCTCTTGGGTGACCCCATCCTCTCCTGGGTGGCCCCAGCCCTCTTGGACATCCCCATCCCTTCCTGAGTGACCCCATCCCTCTTGGGTGTCTGCATCTCCTCTCCCAGACCCACATCCATGGGGTTGCAGGGACATGGGGTGGAGATGGGAGGGACATGGGGAGACACAAGGACACGGGGTGGCCAGAAGGGACATGACGTGTCCACCAGGTCTCCAGACCCACATCAATGGGGTTGCGTGGACGTGGGCTGGAGATGACAAGGACGAGAGGGGACACAGGGACATGGGGTGGCCAGAAGGGACAAAGGATGTCCATGAGGTCCCCAGACCCACATCCATGGGGTTGCTGGGACATGGGGTGGAGATGACAAGGGCAGAGGGGACACGGGGACATGCCACGTCCAGCTCCACGAGGTCTCCAGACCCATATCAATGGGGTTGCGTGGACGTGGGCTGGAGATGACAAGGACGAGAGGGGACACAGAGACATGGGGTGGCCAGAAGGGACAAAGGATGACACTTAGGGCCCCAGACCCACATCCATGGGGTTGCTGGGACATGGGGCGGAGATGACATGGGCAGAGGGGACACAGGGACATGCCACGTCCAGCTCCACGAGGTCTCCAGACCCATATCAATGGGGTTGCGTGGACGTGGGCTGGAGATGACAAGGACGAGAGGGGACACAGAGACATGGGGTGGCCAGAAGGGACAAAGGATGACACTTAGGGCCCCAGACCCACATCCATGGGGTTGCTGGGACATGGGGCGGAGATGACATGGGCAGAGGGGACACAGGGACATGCCACGTCCAGCTCCACGAGGTCTCCAGACCCATATCAATGGGGTTGCGTGGACGTGGGCTGGAGATGACAAGGACGAGAGGGGACACAGAGACATGGGGTGGCCAGAAGGGACAAAGGATGACACTTAGGGCCCCAGACCCACATCCATGGGGTTGCTGGGACATGGGGCGGAGATGACATGGGCAGAGGGGACACAGGGACATGCCACGTCCAGCTCCACGAGGTCTCCAGACCCATATCAATGGGGTTGCGTGGACGTGGGCTGGAGATGACAAGGACGAGAGGGGACACAGAGACATGGGGTGGCCAGAAGGGACAAAGGATGACACTTAGGGCCCCAGACCCACATCCATGGGGTTGCTGGGACATGGGGCGGAGATGACATGGGCAGAGGGGACACAGGGACATGCCACGTCCAGCTCCACGAGGTCTCCAGACCCATATCAATGGGGTTGCGTGGACGTGGGCTGGAGATGACAAGGACGAGAGGGGACACAGAGACATGGGGTGGCCAGAAGGGACAAAGGATGACACTTAGGGCCCCAGACCCACATCCATGGGGTTGCTGGGACATGGGGCGGAGATGACATGGGCAGAGGGGACACAGGGACATGCCACGTCCAGCTCCACGAGGTCTCCAGACCCATATCAATGGGGTTGCGTGGACGTGGGCTGGAGATGACAAGGACGAGAGGGGACACAGAGACATGGGGTGGCCAGAAGGGACAAAGGATGACACTTAGGGCCCCAGACCCACATCCATGGGGTTGCTGGGACATGGGGCGGAGATGACATGGGCAGAGGGGACACAGGGACATGCCACGTCCAGCTCCACGAGGTCTCCAGACCCATATCAATGGGGTTGCGTGGACGTGGGCTGGAGATGACAAGGACGAGAGGGGACACAGAGACATGGGGTGGCCAGAAGGGACAAAGGATGACACTTAGGGCCCCAGACCCACATCCATGGGGTTGCTGGGACATGGGGCGGAGATGACATGGGCAGAGGGGACACAGGGACATGCCACGTCCAGCTCCACGAGGTCTCCAGACCCATATCAATGGGGTTGCGTGGACGTGGGCTGGAGATGACAAGGACGAGAGGGGACACAGAGACATGGGGTGGCCAGAAGGGACAAAGGATGACACTTAGGGCCCCAGACCCACATCCATGGGGTTGCTGGGACATGGGGCGGAGATGACATGGGCAGAGGGGACACAGGGACATGCCACGTCCAGCTCCACGAGGTCTCCAGACCCATATCAATGGGGTTGCGTGGACGTGGGCTGGAGATGACAAGGACGAGAGGGGACACAGAGACATGGGGTGGCCAGAAGGGACAAAGGATGACACTTAGGGCCCCAGACCCACATCCATGGGGTTGCTGGGACATGGGGCGGAGATGACATGGGCAGAGGGGACACAGGGACATGCCACGTCCAGCTCCACGAGGTCTCCAGACCCATATCAATGGGGTTGCGTGGACGTGGGCTGGAGATGACAAGGACGAGAGGGGACACAGAGACATGGGGTGGCCAGAAGGGACAAAGGATGACACTTAGGGCCCCAGACCCACATCCATGGGGTTGCTGGGACATGGGGCGGAGATGACATGGGCAGAGGGGACACAGGGACATGCCACGTCCAGCTCCACGAGGTCTCCAGACCCATATCAATGGGGTTGCGTGGACGTGGGCTGGAGATGACAAGGACGAGAGGGGACACAGAGACATGGGGTGGCCAGAAGGGACAAAGGATGACACTTAGGGCCCCAGACCCACATCCATGGGGTTGCTGGGACATGGGGCGGAGATGACATGGGCAGAGGGGACACAGGGACATGCCACGTCCAGCTCCACGAGGTCTCCAGACCCATATCAATGGGGTTGCGTGGACGTGGGCTGGAGATGACAAGGACGAGAGGGGACACAGAGACATGGGGTGGCCAGAAGGGACAAAGGATGACACTTAGGGCCCCAGACCCACATCCATGGGGTTGCTGGGACATGGGGCGGAGATGACATGGGCAGAGGGGACACAGGGACATGCCACGTCCAGCTCCACGAGGTCTCCAGACCCATATCAATGGGGTTGCGTGGACGTGGGCTGGAGATGACAAGGACGAGAGGGGACACAGAGACATGGGGTGGCCAGAAGGGACAAAGGATGACACTTAGGGCCCCAGACCCACATCCATGGGGTTGCTGGGACATGGGGCGGAGATGACATGGGCAGAGGGGACACAGGGACATGCCACGTCCAGCTCCACGAGGTCTCCAGACCCATATCAATGGGGTTGCGTGGACGTGGGCTGGAGATGACAAGGACGAGAGGGGACACAGAGACATGGGGTGGCCAGAAGGGACAAAGGATGACACTTAGGGCCCCAGACCCACATCCATGGGGTTGCTGGGACATGGGGCGGAGATGACATGGGCAGAGGGGACACAGGGACATGCCACGTCCAGCTCCACGAGGTCTCCAGACCCATATCAATGGGGTTGCGTGGACGTGGGCTGGAGATGACAAGGACGAGAGGGGACACAGAGACATGGGGTGGCCAGAAGGGACAAAGGATGACACTTAGGGCCCCAGACCCACATCCATGGGGTTGCTGGGACATGGGGCGGAGATGACATGGGCAGAGGGGACACAGGGACATGCCACGTCCAGCTCCACGAGGTCTCCAGACCCATATCAATGGGGTTGCGTGGACGTGGGCTGGAGATGACAAGGACGAGAGGGGACACAGAGACATGGGGTGGCCAGAAGGGACAAAGGATGACACTTAGGGCCCCAGACCCACATCCATGGGGTTGCTGGGACATGGGGCGGAGATGACATGGGCAGAGGGGACACAGGGACATGCCACGTCCAGCTCCACGAGGTCTCCAGACCCATATCAATGGGGTTGCGTGGACGTGGGCTGGAGATGACAAGGACGAGAGGGGACACAGAGACATGGGGTGGCCAGAAGGGACAAAGGATGACACTTAGGGCCCCAGACCCACATCCATGGGGTTGCTGGGACATGGGGCGGAGATGACATGGGCAGAGGGGACACAGGGACATGCCACGTCCAGCTCCACGAGGTCTCCAGACCCATATCAATGGGGTTGCGTGGACGTGGGCTGGAGATGACAAGGACGAGAGGGGACACAGAGACATGGGGTGGCCAGAAGGGACAAAGGATGACACTTAGGGCCCCAGACCCACATCCATGGGGTTGCTGGGACATGGGGCGGAGATGACATGGGCAGAGGGGACACAGGGACATGCCACGTCCAGCTCCACGAGGTCTCCAGACCCATATCAATGGGGTTGCGTGGACGTGGGCTGGAGATGACAAGGACGAGAGGGGACACAGAGACATGGGGTGGCCAGAAGGGACAAAGGATGACACTTAGGGCCCCAGACCCACATCCATGGGGTTGCTGGGACATGGGGCGGAGATGACATGGGCAGAGGGGACACAGGGACATGCCACGTCCAGCTCCACGAGGTCTCCAGACCCATATCAATGGGGTTGCGTGGACGTGGGCTGGAGATGACAAGGACGAGAGGGGACACAGGGACATGGGGTGGCCAGAAGGGACAAAGGATGTCCATGAGGTCCCCAGACCCACATCCATGGGGTTGCTGGGACATGGGGCGGAGATGACATGGGCAGAGGGGACACAGGGACATGCCACGTCCAGCTCCACAAGGTCTCCAGACCCATATCAATGGGGTTGCGTGGACGTGGGCTGGAGATGGCAGGGACGAGAGGAACCCGAGGATGTGGGGTGGAGCTGGCAGGGACAGGAGGGGACACAGGGGACAGGGGGGTGGCCAGAAGGTGCCCCCCGAGGGTCTCACCACGGCGGTGACCACCACCTCCAGCTGCTGCCGGCTCTCGAAGTCCAGGGCTCGGGCCAACACCACCTTCCCGCTGTTGGGCAGGTCGATGCGGAAGAACCTGGCGTCGGGCTTGATGGGGGACAGGGGGGGACAACAGGAGGGGACAAGAGGGGGTCAGCACCAGCAGATGGCCCTGGCCACCCACCCCCCGCCATCGTCCCCACCCCCGGGGGCTCACCGAGGCCGTGTCGATGACGTACATGAGGGTGTCCCCGTCGGCGTCCTCCGCCTGGGCGCTGAACACCACCGAGTGCACGGCCGCCAGCTGTGGGCACCCACCAGCACCTCCTGCCACCACCCAACGGCACCCAACGGCACCCCCAAACACACCCCCCGTGACACCCAAACCCACCCAGGTGTCCCCATCTCCTCTCACGTGTCCCCATCTCCTCTCAGGTATCCCCATCCCTCTTGGGTCCCCTCATCTCCTCTTGAGTGTCCTCGTCCCTTCTTGAGTGACCTCATCCCACTTGGGTGTCCCCATCCCCACTTGGGTGGCCCCATCCCCACTTGGATGTCCCCATCCTCTCCTGAGTGACCTCATCCCTCTTGGGTGTCTGCATCTCCTCTCAGGTGTCCTCGTCCCTCTTGGGTGTCCCCATCTCCTCTTGAGTGTCCTCGTCCCCTCTTGAGTGACCTCATGCCTCTTGGGTGACCCCATCCTCTCCTGGGTGGCCCCATCCCTCTTGGATGTCCCCATCCCCACTTGGATGTCCCCATCCTTTCCTGAGTGATCTCATCTCTCTTGGGTGTCCCCATCTCCTCCTGGGTGACCCCATCCTCTCCTGGGTGGCCCCATCCCTCTTGGATGTCCCCATCCCCACTTAGGTGGCCCCATCACCACTTGGGTGGCCCCATGAAGCTTGGATGTCCCCATCCTCTCCTGAGTGGCCCCATCCCTTCTTGGGTGTCCCCATCCCTCTTGAGTGTCCTCGTCCCCTCTTGAGTGACCTTACGCCTCTTGGGTGTCCCCATCTCCTCCTGGGTGACCCCATCCTCACTTGGGGGGTCACATCCCTTCCTGAGTGACCTCATCCCTCTTGGGTATCTGCATCTCCTCTCAGGTGTCCCTGTTCCTCTCAGGTGTCCCCATCTCCTCTTGAGTGTCCTTGTCCCCTCTTGAGTGACCTCATGCCTCTTGGGTGACCCCATCCTCTCCTGGGTGGCCCCATCCCTCTTGGATGTCCCCATCCCCACTTGGATGTCCCCATCCCCACTTGTGTGGCCCCATCCTTTCCCGAGTGATCTCATCCCTCTTGGGTGTCCCCATCCTCTCCTGGGTGGCCCCATCCCCACTTGGATGTCCCCATCCTTCCCTGAGTGACCTCATCCCTCTTGGGTGACCCCATCCTCTCCTGGGTGTCCCCATTCCTCCTGGGTGGCCCAATCCCCACTTGGGTGGCCCCACCCCTCTTGGATGGCCTCATTCCTTCCTGAGTGACCTCATCCCTCTTGGGTGTCCCCATCCCCACTTGGGTGGCCCTATCCCTCTTGGACATCCCCATCCCTTCCTGAGTGACCTCATCCCTCTTGGGTGTCCCCATCCCCACTTGGATGTCCCCATCCCCACTTGGGAGGCCCCAGCCCTCTTGGATGTCCCCATCCCCACTTGGGAGGCCCCAGCCCTCTTGGATGTCCCCATCCCCACTTGGATGTCCCCATCCCCACTTGTGTGGCCCCATCCTTTCCCGAGTGATCCCATCCCTCTTGGATGTCCCCATCCCCACTTGGGTGGCCCCATCCCTCTTGGATGTCCCCATCTCCACTTGGGTGGCCCCATCACTCTTGGATGTCCCCATCCTTTCCTGAGTGACCTCATCCCTCTTGGGTGACCCCATCCTCTCCTGGGTGTCCCCATTCCTCCTGGGTGGCCCAATCCCCACTTGGGTGGCCCCACCCCTCTTGGATGGCCTCATTCCTTCCTGAGTGACCTCATCCCTCTTGGGTGACCCCATCCTCTCCTGGGTGTCCCCATTCCTCCTGGGTGGCCCAATCCCCACTTGGGTGGCCCCACCACCTTCTGGGTGTCCTCATCTCCTCCTGGGTGATGCTATTGCTCTTGGGTGTCTCCATCCTTTCCTGAGTGACCTCAACCCTCTCAGGTGTCCCCATCTCCTCTTGGACATCCCCAACCTCTCCTGGGTGTCCCCATCTCCTCTTGGGTGTCCCCATCCCTCCTGGGCGTCCCCATCTCCTCTTGGGTGTCCCCATCCCTCCGGGGTGACCCCATGGTGTCTCCATTCCTTCTGGATGTCCCCATCCCCTCCTGGGTGTCCCCATCCCCTCCTGGGCGTCCCCATCCCCTCCTGGGTGTCCTCCTCCCCGACCCCATGCCCATGGCCATCCTTGTCCCCATCCCCGTCCCCATGACCACGACCGTCCCCCACCCCTGTCCCCATCCCAGCACCTCGCTGATGTTGTGGGTCAGGACGGTGGCTCCTTGGAAGTGGGGCCGGTTGTCATTCTCGTTGAGGACCTGGACGATGATCCGGTACTCGACCTGCCCGGGGGGGACACAGGGGTCACCCAGGATGGGACCGTGCCCCATGGAGGACCCGGTGTCCCTTGGGGTCCCATTGGCCGTACCGGGGAGAAGCCGTCCTCGGCGCACGTCAGGGCCACCATCAGCACTGGGGACTCCAGCTCCTGCAAGAGACGGGAAGTTGGGCAGGGGGACATGGGGGGGCTGCCCCACAGGGACACCCCCATGGGGTCCCCCACCCAGGTGGGTGGTGAAGGTGGGTCAAGGATGGTGGATGTGGGTCAAGGATGGTGAAGATGGGTCAAGGATGATAGAGATGGGTCAAGGACGGATGGAGGTGGGTCAAGGATGATAGACATAGGTCAAGGATGGGTGAAGGTGGGTCCAGGATGGTGGACGTGGGTCAAGGATGGGTGAAGGCGGGTCAAGGATAGATGGAGGTGGGTCAAGGATAGATGGAGGTGGGTCAAAGATGGTGGACGTGGGTCCAGGATGGTGGAGGTGGGTCAAGGATGGTGGATGTGGGTCAAGGATGGTGAAGATGGGTCAAGGATGATAGAGATGGGTCAAGGACAGATGGAGGTGGGTCCAGGATGATAGACATAGGTCAAGGATGGGTGAAGGTGGGTCCAGGATGGTGGACGTGGGTCAAGGATGGGTGAAGGCGGGGCAAGGAGAGATGGAGGGGGG